TATCAATGGGAAGTGTAATGACCCGCCATAACACCTGTCTCTTATACACATCTAGATGTGTATAAGAGACAGGGCCTACCCGGGTAGGGACGCCGGATACCAAGTTGGGAGGTGGGTTAACCCTAACCTGGAGGTACAGTGACATAAAGGTATATGACCGCCCATAGACCATGACATAGACCATGACATAGACCAGGACCAGGAGAAGGACAAGGACAAGAACAGCGATCAGGCCCAGGAAAGACACCACTGGCAGGAGAGAGACCACACCATTACCCTACACCATTATGCTGCCTGATTTCAGCTCCTGGCTGTGGCGGATGACCTTCCTGGTGGTAATATTGAAGACACCCGAGGAGAACATGTGGAGCTCGTGGGGACGGTGCTTGGCGGTGATATTGGCGATGTGAGGACGAGATATGGAACTCGTGGCTATCATGGCGGATGACCGCCTTTGCAGTGATATTGGAGACCTGACAAGGAGATGTGGATCTCCTGGCTATGGCGGAAGACCTCTCTTGCCTTAACGCTCGCCACTTCAACCATACAGGTAGCTACGGTTCTGCACTTCATCATACTACTCGGCTGTGACTTTTGCCCATGCTCGGCCATGTACGCAGACTTCATTACCCGCATACTGAAGTCTAGACATCCTTGAAAACCCAAGCTGGGATATCATTGAAGACTCAGTTGGGACATTGTTGACGCCCCCAGTTGGGACATTGGGAAAGACCCAAGTTGGGACTGATAAGAGAGGTCTCTTTTGGGAGAGATCTTTACTCACCTGTAGTCGTCGGTTTTCGTCACGTTGGCTGGTGCTACTTCTGGAAAAGTGCACCTGACCTTAGTCAGTCTTGAGTTTGGAGTAGACTTGCATGGTGCTTCAAATCCATGAGAGGAGGAGAAGGAGAAAAGGGAGGTGATGGAAGAGGGACTTCTCACCTCCTCTCGCTTGTCGTTACTGGGAGAGAGAGACTCAGATTTCATTACCTCAATTCTTTAGTGGGTGGGAAGATTCGTTGATTCCCGTACGTTGTCGTTGATGATTTGACAAGCAGACGTTCTTTGATAAAGAGTACACACAAGGAGAGGAGAATACTTCTTTGAGTGTCTGAGACGGGACGACAGCACACCGCGAAGATGTTGGTCACACGGTTGAAGAGATAACCAGGGCACTCTTAGGGTTTCAAAAAGCCAAGAAAAACAGCCTAACTCAGCACCGATAAGCCAAGTTTGGAGTGCATGAAAGCGAAAGTAATTGAAGTAACAGTAAAGTTCAGTAAGTTCAGTAAACTACTAAACTTTATATAGATCGTACAGATAGCCGTATGTCGTCAAACAGCAAATATAAATTATATAAATAATAAATAATAAATATAGATATAGATATAGATATAGAGGAAAGTTAGTAAAACATACCTGAATTTTTTTTTTTTTTTTTGAAAGCACCACTACCTTTTCCCATGTTGGCCTCGGGTGGGCCTCTCCAATCTTTTAGGAAGGCAAAACGAAATGACGGCTGCCGATGAGATTTGTCAACGACGGGCAGCCGTCGCCCTTTCCCAGCCCCAGATATTTTAAGGAGTACTAGGCTATTTTAGTATTTTCCCGTAGTGGTGGTTTAAAGTTTAAACTTTAAACTTTAAAGGGAAAAACGTCCGAAACACATACCTGAGTGTTTGTGATGTCTTCGTAACCTATATTGACATCATGCGCAAGAACCTGCCACAATATACGAACCACCGGAACAATTCTTCGTTACTTTTTGTAACTTTCTGGCATTTTTGGATTTTCCGACCATTTCCGACATTTTATTTCTGTCTGACAACTTGACTTCCTTTTTAGAACTTGTTTTCTACTTTTTACTGAAAAGAAACGAAAAGGAAAGTCCTTCGGGACATCCGTTAAAATTGGAAGTCGGTACGACAAAGAGAAAGAGAAGATTAGCATTAGCATGGCCCCTGCACAAGGACGACAAAAAAAAAAAAAAAAAAGAAACGAAAAGGGAAAGTTGTAACAAGGCGGAGACAGGGCAGCGAGACTGGGAGAGGGAGCGAGAGTGAGAGCACACACACACACTCACTCAACTCGACGCAGACTCGACACGACTCGCCACGACTCGACACGACTCGACAGACGCAGACTCGACATGATTCGACAGACGCAGACACAAAGTGGCAAAGTTGCAAAGTCGCAGTCTTGGATTCCTGAACACAATGTCGAAGCATAGTCACACTGAACACAAGCAATGAGCCTGAAAACTGGTTGCCCGTACTGGGCTCGAGTCCGGTCTTAAGCACCGGACTCAAGTTCAGTCCCGAGGGCAGAAGTGCAAATTGCCTCAGGGCTGAACTGAAAATCGGAGGTCTGAGTCTGGGCGCCAGAATGCCGGATGGCGCCAAGTATCGAAATCCGAAAGTGCCGAAAGAGGAATTTGAGAACGGGCGCCAACTGCAGAGGGCCCCAACAGTCAGGGGCCTGAGAACAGAGAGCCAAAAATGAAATAGCAGCCTGACAGGTGCTAACCCGCGGACCAGGGATCGAGCCCTGGCTGAGTCCGTAACAAAAGTGACATGCACCTTTGTAACAGAATTCCAGAATAGAGTTCACTATACTCTTTTTTTACTATTTACTATTTACTATGTACTATTTACTATTTAGTCTTTACTTAGTTTATCACTACTCTTTACTACTCTTTCCTATTCTGTACTAGTCTGTAGTATGCTGCTTTGCAATGGTCACATCGGCGTTGATTGCCGATGCAACCAAAAAGGAAATAGAAAGCAAAGAAAGAACTAGTCAAGAAATTATACAAGTATATACGCTTAGTATGCATTCTCACAAAGTAGCTAACACGGTAAGACCGCCTTTCAGTTTTCTTTTCAAAACCAGCAGGGGAGAAAAAAAAAATGCAAGACTCTGACCGCTGAAAACTCCACAAACATTCATGACAAAGGGGGAATCTTTGTGAAACTTGAGATCTCACAGCCTCTCTCTCTCTCTCTCTCTCTCTCTCT